TAATATTTTAATACAGTAATCTATGAGATTTACTTTATATATAACATAAAAAGAATAAGTTTGTAATACAGAAACATTGTGCTTTATTGTTTGTTAAACATTATTGATTGGTAATTTTTTTACATTTTTGCCCCACCGATCACACAAAAATTCTCTCATTCATTCACGGATTGTCAATTAAAATAATATCATTTCATTTTAAAAAATGAATGCCATTTAAATTGACTACCACTTGTGTGATTGATTCAATCATTAATGCTAAAGAAACAAAATTATTGAGGCTATTGCTGTTCATTGCAAAAATGGAATAAAATAATTATTTTTCAAATATAATTAATTATATAAATAAAAAATAAACATGACTTAATTCGCAATTCGCAATAAACGGAAAGGATCGACATACATTTTAATAGTATATAATAGTAAAATGCAGGGATAACATAATAAAATTTATAATTTTTGGCCAGTTTTCCTATTTAGTAATAATAATTTTTGTGACAAAAAAAAAATAATCTTCTCCTTATTTTCATTCAAATGCCAAAACGACCAAACTTAATTGTGAATCTTGTTTCTATAAGTCATATTGCATCTCTTACTTACATTTTTCCAAGTGAATTTTCTATTTCTTTTTTAGTTGAATGCTTCGAATATTGCATTTTTTTTACCCATAATCTTTGAATTCATACTTTACTGGTAAAAAATTAGCATATAGTTTTTTAACAAAAAAAATATTTATAGATTATACTAATGTTTTTTATTATGCACGAGTGTGATACTTGATAATAAGGTACATGATAAAAATTATTTTATTATAAAATCAAAAAATTTTGCCCTGATCTGCATTATGTAATTTCTTTCCATTTCTGGCAAATTGCAAATTAACTTTTTGTTGTTACTTAATCCTTTCCTTGAACATGAATGTTTATTGATTATTTCAATACATTTGATGTCATCATTGACATAACAAACAATTGCATCACCCAGGTAGTAATAATACCAAGGCCATGCATGAATGAAACTTTTAATAATGTGTGTCTACCCAGATCTCTGGGGTTCACAAAATAAATTATTTTTCCTGATTATCAATTATGGTTCCTTATGAATAATAAATCTGATGTTGATCACAGGTGTCAGATTTAATAAAATTTCCTATCGCAAATATGTGGTTACGTGCTTTCACACGCCCCATAACTGTGGAATTTTTTTCCATAGGTGAGGCCCCTCACATACTAGAAGGCTTTTGTAAAAGTTTTCTTATCTTCCCCTCAGACCAGGCCTGACTGTTATACCAAATGGACGATGAGAGTTGATTCTGATGTGATGATTGCCTTGTGTTATCCAACTGAAGAACAAAGTCAGTGTCTGCAACTGATTCAAAATTCAGCAACTTGGGAGATTGCTGTTTTGTTGGTGCACATCTATTCACAAAAAAAAACATCCCATTTAAAAAATATTAATCAAATAAAAAATTACCAAGAAAACAGAAATTCAGAAGAATTATTAATTTGTATAGAACATACCAAAACAACCCATTTTATGATTTTTCTTGTTAGCCTTTTCCAAAAATTCCCACTTTGGTTCCAGAGATCAATGTTGCCATTTGGCTGACAAAGATATATATAACCATATGACAATTTTAAATCTCATGTCTCCTGCCCAAAATTATAAATTTGGTTAGTGCCAAAGAAAAAGAGAATAATTAATTTAAACACTATTTTATGACTTTCCTCTAAGCATCAGAGCACAATTGCAATTTCAGAGTCCCCAACCCCACCTTGAATTGCAAATTCCTTCCTGAGCTTAAAATAAGTTACAGATTCTCATTGCCTCAATGGAACCAACCTAAAGGTAGGATTGTTGCAGAAAACTTTTTGGCTAGCATGCATATTCAGGTAATAAATACCAGTGATGGTGCTATGAGGGAAGATGAGGTAGGATCTTTGACAACGACATGATCTCAATAAACTCCAGGGCCATGTGGACCCCCCCTGGAATTTAGCAACATCGTTGTATCATCGGGGTAATCTTGGTCAGATTAGCCTTGTGTACACGAGGAACATGAGAGAATGATTGTAAAGTGTTGAGGTAATTATGTACTTCAATACTTGTCAATTTCCAGTGATGTTATATATCAAAAAGTTTCTTCTGTAACAATCATGTTGCCTTGACATCTTTATTAATGTTAATATTAATATTATTAATGATTATATGAAAAGTAAAACGATGCCAATCGTTTATTATCATGATAAGAATTTCCTATAATAATTACCTAATGAGGCAGACAAGTTCTGTTCCAGATTTTGATTTCAATAATATATATTTTATATAATAAAAGATATATTTATAAAAAATAAAAAAAAATAAATACATGTAAAAAATTATGCACCTATCGCCATCAATAAACAACATGTTGTCTTCTTTAACATTCACATTTCCTTCATCTTGTAAAAAATTAATTTTTTTCAAAAAAAAAAAAAAAAAAACAATTTACGCGTCAACGCGTTAATTAAAGAAATTTTTTTGTGCAACAATTGATTAATAATAATAATAAATAAAATAGATTTTTAAAATAATGGATAACGACAAAAATAAAAGAAAAGAAAGAGCAAACATCATCGCTACGTAAGTGTGATTTATTTAAAAAAATATGGTTTCTGATTATAATTTTCACTGTATGATTTAAATATTAATATCGCGACCACTGACAATTATCAATTTATTTGTAAAAAAAAAAAAACAGTTCTACTAGCACCAAATCTGTAAGTAAATGACATTCTTTTCAATACATTGGTTTTACTGTTTTTAAAAAGTAAATTTAACTTTTAACTTTTAATAGTATATAAACTCGCTCGCCAAAGAAACAATTGATAAATTAGGTTCAATACATGGTTAAATTCCATAACAATTGAAGATATAATTTACAATGAAGAAGCATCTCTACATCTTGTAGAGTCTTCGTTGGAAAATTTTTCAAACATTTTTAATAGATACAACAACAACAATAATAATGACAATGGCAACGATGAAACTGAACATATAAATGGTAATACTGCCATCAATGACAATAGTAATATTGATGATGACATTGATGACGTTGGCAATAATAATAATAATAATGATAATACCATCGATGATGGCGATGATGAAAACGATGAAATTGGTAATAATGATAATACCAGTCGGGTTTGAACAATTTCAAAATCATAATAATAAATTAAGACCTTTAGTTTTAAAAAACTTGCATTTCTTTCATTTATTAATAATAAAACAAGCAGATGGTAGGACCAGAAAGCCTCATCGTTATAGACCAGGAACTATAGCTTTACGTGAAATCCGTCAGTACCAAAAACATACTGGATTGTTGATAAGGAAATTGCCTTTCCAACGTTTAGTAAAAGAAATTGCTCAAAACATAAAACCTGGTTTTCGTTTCCAGTCAAGTTCCATTGGTGCTTTGCAATAAGTAAGTTTTTCTTCATTATATATTCACACACACACACACACACACACACACAGAAATACATGTCCAGCCACTTCATTGAAACAAAAGTTTGACTATATAATTACAATGAGTTTATTAATTATTTTAGGCTTCTGAAGCATATTTAGTTTCTTTATTTGATGATGCAAATTTAGCAGCTATTCATGGTAAGCAATTCAAACAGTATTTGTAGATACACATAATCATTATTGAATTGATTAATTAATTAATTGATTATTTTTGTAGCTAAACGAGTCACAATACAACTGAGGGATATGCAACTTGCATGTCGTATTCGTGGTAGATAATATTTAATTTTCATAGTAATAATTATTACAGTTTAGTACATTTATTTCACAACCAAAAAAATAGTTCGGTAATTAGTATCACTAAACAAAAATTGCTCTAAAAAAAAAACTACTTTAAACTTTTAAGATGCATTATATATTATAAATATATATCAAAGTAGTATTTCTTATTTTATTTTACAATTTTAACTTTCGGACTTGATCGATGAAAATAAAATAAATTGCTAAAATATTTCCAAGTACACATACAAACTCGATAAGTCGGCCCGCAGTAATCAATTGTTTAAAGTACTCGATAATATAAATTATGCGGCCGACTTATCGAGTTTGTATGTGTATTATCTTCTTTACCCAAAATTATTCGCTAATAACAAAATTAATTCGTTAATAACCTATTCATTCTGATCCACACAAAACAAAAATAATTGTTATCACCAATTAAAAATACGCTCTCCCAAATTTAATCGGTGAAAATAGTAAAAATAAAAGAAAAAGTTAAGGTAGCAGACTTATTTATCTATCTTTATCCTTTCGCGATTAGTCAAATTTTTTTACTTTCGATTCATGAATTTGATTGTTAATGAGAACAAAGATTTTTTTTTTGAATTCATTAGAAGATAAGAAGTTTTCTCAAATCTCTTAGGTTGATTTATTTTATTAAGATTTTTTTTCTTACTATATATTATTTAGCATGGTGGAAACTAAAACAGTTTTCGTTTTATTTATTTATTTCTATTATTTAAAAAAAACAAAAAACAGGAGGTTAATAATTTAGAGTTTCTCAAATCTCTTAAATTAATTGGTTTTATTAATCTATATACTAATATGATTTTTTATGTCACGTCGTTAAAAAAAGATGATACAGCCATTGATAGAAATAATGGAAACGAAAATGATGAAAATGATGGTAGTCATGATGTAAGGATATTGATGATGAAAGCATTAGGATAGAAAATAGCAAAGAAAGCAGTTGTAGTGATAATGAAGGCAATATACTGAAATTTAGACACCTTTTTTAAATATGTATACAATGTTCTGGAAAAAAAAAAAAAGCATTGCATAAAACGCATGAAATTTTAGAATTTCATACAAGTTTCCATCTTTAACCCAAAAGATCAGAACTTGATATATCTTGGCTATCAAAGTATAATAAATTCCTTCATAGAGGAGATCCAGAAACTCTTGAAGGAAATTGGATTGTTCTAATAAAAGTTTTGATTTACATATCATTATTCCAAGAAATATATCTTTATTTTTTTGACTTGGCACACCAATATCACATACAATAAAGCTGTCTGAAATCATTGAGTATAATCAAAAACTTATATTTTTGTGTTTTCTTTTTTTGGGTGTGTGATGACAATCGGGAATATCGGTTTTTTGAACTTTTTGTGGATTCTTCCACCTGCTCAGATTGTCATTAATCTTCGTGTCATTAACAATCCTCATTGTTTGCAAAATTTCGAGCTACAAGAGAAGAATAAAATCAACTTGTGAAATTTAAAAAGTAAAAACAAGTATATGAGACTTTTTTACCTTGGCGTAAATGATGGTGACTAGAGCATCCAACGTATTACTAAATTGTGTGATATCTGCATATATCTCACGTGGTTCTTCCCTCATATATCGGCATGCATACCCCTTTGGACAATCGAGGTTTGTCTTAATTAAGACGGCACCTTCGAAAATCCTGAATGTTAGAATTTCGATCAAGTCTTATTCAGAAAGTACAATTTATACAATGCAAACCTGAATGAACAAATCCTGGAACATTAATCTTGCGTATCTTCTCTTCAGAAAAGTTAACCTTACGTGCAAGAGATATAAAGATGTCTTTCAAAGTTTTTGGCAAACTCAAACCACGTTCCTTTATGAGTTTTGTGCCTTGCTCACCCTCCCATTTAGACCCAGCCTCAGATGCCGCCCATTCGATTGGCCTCGAGCCAAATGTTCGTACGTAACCATCGCCTTTCTTTCCAATCTTCTTTCGTTGCATTTGATGTATATTATTCAAAGTTCTACCACGGTTTTTCCTTTCTGTGCTTGCCAATCCTGCTTTTTCTCCTCTGTCATTTTTTCAGGAAAAGTAAAATTAATTATAAAATAATGGATGGCGATCATGTATAGTTACTCTTTTACTCACCCAACGAAAAATACAAAAGGCGTATCTGAGAAAGCAATGTCGACGGTTCTCCAGACATTAATCCGAAACCAACTTTCTGGTAAATCTTGTTGTGTAAGCGGGTTTGGGTGCATTTCTAACAAACGGACCCTACATAATATTCATTTATTAACATTACATATGAGCTACGAGAACTTTTCTTGTCACTTACCAATCAGTAACTGTTGTCCTCACATGTTCATAAGCGAAATCGACGAGAGGATTATAATCACGACAAAGTCTGGGGTGAGAAGCATATAGTGCTTCACGTATGTCTTTCGTGGAGGTCTATATACAGAGAATTAACTTCTGTTATAAAATTCTAGAGGTTTGGAATGGCAACACCCTGACAATTTACCTTTGCAAAGGTATCAATATATTCCAATAGTTCACCTTCTATTTGAGGTGCTTCTTGCACGGTCATTGTTTCGCAGATCTCTGTAAGTTCATCAGTGGTAAATCCCGATTGCAGAAATTTGTCCTCAGGGTCAACAATAAAGGAATGGACGAGGCTGGAATATGAATGAAATTTAGGTCGGTCAGCAATTATGCATAATAAAAGCACCATTATATGTAACATGGCTCTCTCTCGCTTGTGAAATTTAGATTTCTTTCCCAAATCATACAAGACGTCTTCCACGTATTTCCCAGTCTTGAGCTTCCATTTTTTCTCGTTTTTCATGGTCTCAAATCTATATATTAGGTGACAGTTAAGTGATATCTACATAGTCAATACTTGCATAAGAGCAAAAAAATGTTCTTACCGTTGCGTAAACAATTCCATGTCTTGCATAGTGAATTCATCATCATCAGTTGGATTACATAAGGATGTGTTTGATGTTGTGACAATCTTTTCATCAGCGTCATCTGGCTCATAATCATTCTCCTTGTTATCATCAAAATCGTCTACTGTCCAGAATTTCTCTTGTATTTTTTCTTCCTTGGTTTTTTCTTTGGGAAACTCGGTTGCCACTGCAATAGTTGCAGCACGTATTCCAACAGTTAAGATCTCACGCTAATGGCAGCCATTTAAAGAAAAGGTTATATCAGAGTCTTCCATGGTAATAAAGTCAAAAACATTACATACTTTGTTCATTCGATTTTCAACAGCTAGCCTTCCTAATTTTGTAGAGTGTTCTTGCCACAATTCTATATTCACTGGATCGTTATGACAATCCTTCAAAAAAAATATAACAGTTATTTGTGAGTATGCGCAAATAATTGTTGTATTAGATGATCGCGGTTGGTAGCTTGCCTAACCATGCATGTTACAACCAGATCTGAAAATCCCAAATTGTAACTTCAAGCAAAGAAACATTTTGCTTTCTGCCCACTTCAAGCAAAGAAACATTTTGCCCTATGCGACAAAGTCGCTCAATTAGCAATTGCAGGGTGCGATTATAGGCGAATATCAATGGAACCACCAAGCATATTGGGCCTGAAGGCCCTATAAAGCAAAGAACATTTTGCTTTCTGCCCACTTCAAGCAAAGAAACATTTTGCTTTCTGCGACAAAGTCACTCAATTAGCAATTGCAGGGCGTGCATGATATTGGTGTCCCTAAAATAATGGCTGAAGAAAAATCTGACCTTCAAGAGCTTTTGTAATTCAATTGCCTTATAATAACCATAGCTTGTTTTTGAAAGCCTTTTTAGAAGAACTTTAAGTTCCAATCCAAGTGACCGATGTGCTTTCATTTTTGTGCTACCAGGTGTATGATTGATATAGTATATATCCCAATCACTCAAACTTCCCCATGAATTTGGGTTGCGATTCCAGTAGTCTATGAAAAGAGAGTTAAGTTTTTCTTCCTGCTTAAAATTAATTATGAAAGTCTGGATAGAAGCTTACCTGGGTGATGGAGAGCTTCAAAAAGGTTCGAATCGAAAAGTGATGCCATTATTCAAGAACTGGAGAGTAAAATAATGTATGTATTAAAAAAAATAAATTGTTGTTTTTTAATATCAAATTGTTTTGATGGTGCAATTTTAAAAAATTTTTATTGGTGAGTTCAGTCAAGTATTTTACTAAATTTGGAAATGCTAAATGTCATAATGATCGATGGTATACACAGTGAGTCTCGATTTAACGGATATTTTTTTCCAGAAAATTTATCCGTTAAATCAAGAGATCCGCTAAATCGAAACTTATGATCAAATCATGTGATACAAATTAAATGTGTACAAAAAAAAAATTTTTTATTTTGTATATACATAAAAAACAAAATATAACATAATAATAATAATAATATCATTGTCAATGCAACATTGTTTGCTTCTTGGGTGCTTCTATAAGAAATTTTCTCAATATATTTTTAATTATTTGAGGATCAACTTCTAAATATTTTTGTTGTATATATTTACCGTATTCTCTGGAATATAAGCACCACCATTTTGACACGTTTTGGTCAACAAAACTGTGAGTGGTGTTTATATTCAAGACATTTTATTTCAGATAATTTGTGTTACATTTATATGGGGATGAAAATGAAAATGAGGAAGATGAACGTGAAATATTAAATAGAAATGATGATTCAGCTAATGAATTAGATGAGGAGTCTGGTGACTCTGGGAAAGAATAGTCAAAATAAAAAAATTTATTATTTATTATTTATTATATAAAAATAAAATCAAATAAAAAATAATTTGAAATATATGTGGTGCTTATATTTATTTTTCTATTTTTTTGTTTTTTTTCATTGCAAATTCATACTGGTGCTTATATTTGAGTGGTGCTTATATTCCAGAGAATACGGTACTTTCAACTATTTAATTATGTTATGTAATTGTTGAGATATGCAATTTTTTGTCACTGCTGTTTTTTTCTTAACACACTGTATGTTTCATTCTTGTACTTGTGGTCCCGTATAGAAATGTTGATCATTTCACTGTTTCATAGGCGGATCACTTTTTCAAATAGAAGTAATAGCTTAAAAGCAGTAACAATAGTATGAGCATGAGAATGAAGACGAAATGGTAATAAATAATAAATAATGGGATTTTTGTTTATATATTGATGATATTTTAATTCTAGTCATTGTATATACAGGCAAAAAATGTCCGTATAACGAGATATTTTTATAACGGGAGTTCATATAAATCACATGACTTGAAAAATGATTATAAAATTTTTTTAGAAATTATTAATTTATTTTAAAATCAACAATTTAGCAAAAGTTTATAATTATAATCATTAATGATTAAAAGGTTTAGAAAAACCGTTTTTAAAAATTTGCAAAAATTTTTAGTGTAAGTATTGGATAATTCATAATTCTTTTATAGACTTGTTTGAAAATGTCATTAAAAAAAAACAATTGTGAATAAATTTCTTTATTGTCAAAAATGTAAAATATTTCATCAATGTAAGTGTTTCATCATCATCAAGAAGAGATCAATCAAAAACGTAAAGATACTTTGTTACAGGGTTGGCAAATTGACTGGTCCATTGAGAACAGATGGATTTTGGACTGGTCCATTGCCATTAATAAAATACTAAATATGGTTAAAGTATTACACTAATGGACCCAATGGACCATCAATAGACCATCAATGGATCACACATTTGCCAACCCTGCTTTGTTACAATTCACAAATTAAAATCTCCCAGCTTCTGCCCCACTAAATTCTAAGTCTGAAGAAACATGTAGTACCAAATCTGCCCTTTGACCCATTTTTGATCTAGCCAATTGTTTTATACCAGGAACTGTATGACCTAAATTTTTTCTTAATGCAGATGCTAAACTAGAAGATTCTCCATGAACTTGCTCCATATTTTCAATATTTGCAAAGCATTGGTCCAAGATAGGCCCCCACAAATGGATAATTATACCATTGTTCTAAATGGTCACTCTTTAAAGATCCAGATTCATATTCCCTAATGATAGCATGCATTGCGAAATTTACCCAATCTATGTCATGATGAAGTTCACAAACATAGTTTTCTGATATTGATTCATTATCATTTGTCAATAAACGTCTAAGTTTGTGTATTTTTTATCAGAAAATTTCATAATATAATTAATGAGACCTTCTGGAAATTCTGGAAGCTCTCTTTTTTTGTAAACACAAATTTCTTCAAACTCTTCTTTTGTAATATTTTATCATTGATATAAGAATTATCATCTGGATCTAAAATAAAACTATGACACATATGTTCAGAGGTACATTTTAAACCATATTCATATAGCAAATCTTCTACAAATTTTCCGGTGGATAGTTTCCACTTGGATGTATTTTTCATTTTTCTGAAGGTACTTGTAAAAGTGCATAACCTAGCGGTGATAGTAGTAATGTAGAAATTAATTATAATCATTACCATTGTAACTAGAATGGAGTGTTGCACACAACTGCTGTGCACAGGGAGATCCCTCTCACAGCATAGTTGATTAATTTTTACTATATCTAGAATGGCAAGCTGCAATAATTGCAACTACCACATTCTTTTTAACAACTAATAAATAAAACTTACCAATTGATATCTTCATGTTCATTTTCTTTGTTTCTTTTTTTTGTATTCTTTTTGATTTTATTCATTTTTTTTGAAAGAAAAGAAGTATATATATAGAATGAAAAACAATCACAACCACCACTACTGTTCTTTAATAATTAACTAGAGCGACAGCGAGTGGTGGGTGATAATCACCACCATCCTTAAAACACTTATCCTCTAACAGCACCAATATTATCTTCTCTTCCTCTTTTATTGTTTTCTTTGGGCATGTTTATAAAAAAAAATAAAGAAAAAGAAGTTTGTGATTTGATCGACATGTACACATTAATTATTTATCCTATTGGTTTTTTTTTGATTTTTTTTTTTTTTTGGAAAAACAAAACAATTTATTTTTTGACAGAGTCCAAGGTGACAAAACATGAGCGTTGTTGTTTGGTTTGGTTTGGGTCTCCTAAAGAAAATGTGTTAATAACTAACTAGAGGTGCTTTTTTTTATTTGTATTGATATTTTTATTTTAGTTTATAAATATTTTAATTGGAATCAAAACGCGGAGCAAATCTTGCTGGGTAATTATAAGATTCTTATCAAGATGATAATAAATGATTGGTATTTTGCTTTGCATAATCATAATTATTAATATATAATTACAAGAAGATGTCAAGGCAACACAACATTTAAAAAGAAACATTTCGATATGTGATGTTTGATTATCAGAAATTTTATAGATGTTGAAGCACACACACTACCTTGAACACATTATGGTCATTCTCTCATGTCTTCCTTGTGTGCACAAAGCTAATCTGACCAGCTCCATCCTATGGATATGATGATGCAACCAATACCAGGCATCAGGAAAACGTGTTTTTTGATACACATATTATATGTATATTATACATGTATTATTTTACATTACAGGTGATCTGCATATAATATATGTATAATTCATGTGTAATTTATGGACATGTGTATTATATGTATATTATATGTGGATCACCTGTAATGTAAAAAAATAATACACATATAATAAACATATAATACGTGTATCAAAAAAAACACATTTTCCTGATGAGGGGGAGGTGCATGGCCCTGGAGTTTACTGAGACTAAAGATGGCTCCTCAATTAGTTGCAACTAATTGCGGCATATAAAAATTAAATTGCGGTTGCGGTTGCAGCATATGAAGATTGAATTGCGGCTAATTGCGGTTCCCATCTTTAACTGAGACTGCATCAATTGTCAATCACACTTACACTAATATTCCCAGACCAGAGAAGGCTGCCATGTTAGACAAAAAGTCCCCTGCAATGATCTCACCTCTAGGGTAAGGGTGGCTCTGTGACCAAGCTGTTGCAACTCTGGAGGAATATTAAGAGAATCTGCAGCTCGTTCAAGCACAGGAGGTCACAATTCAGAGCAGGGTTGGTGACCCTGAAATTGCATTTGGACTCTGATGTTAGGAGGAAAGTTGTAAAATAGTGTTTGTTTTGTATAATTATTTTCCTAAATTCTCTGTTAACCAATTTATAATTTTGGGTAGAGGACTGAATTGGTTTTTGCCCAATCAGTCCCCTGTCCTATAAATTAAAATTATTGTATGTTTATATACATCTTTGTCAGCAATATGGCCAATAAGGAAAAAGTCATAAAATGGTTTGGATTTTGGTATGTGATGTTATAAATTAATCATTTTCATAAATTTTCTGTTTCTCTAAACTTTATTTGACCAACTGAACTTGTTGTTTAAATGGGGTAGGGTTGTTGGCATGTTGATGTGCCTAAATTTAGGGAAAATCTAAAACAGCAACCCAGGTTGTAACCTCCCAAGGTGCAGGATTTTGAACCTGTTGCAGATACCAACTTTATTCTAGAGATATAACACAAAGCAATCATCACACAAGCACCAGCTATCAGTGATCAATGCTCATATGGTAACAGTCAAGCCTGGTCTGAGAGGAAGATAAGGAAAATTTTGTCCAAAGCCTTCCAACTTGTCCAAGTTGCTCTCACTCGCGGAAAAAGGTCCACAGTGCAGGAGGGTGCTTTGCACTACGCTTGCATGTTTGTGACAGGAAAATTTTAATTAAATCTGACACTTGTGATCAACATCAGATTTATGAGCAACAATAATTGATAATCAGGAAGAATAATTTATTATTGTGAATCCCAGAGGTCTGGGTAGACATGCATTGTTAAAAGTTTCATTTATGCATGGCCTTGGTATTGTTACTACCTGGGTGATGCAATTGT